CTGTGCTGGTCTGCTGGTCCGACTGCGGGGGTCGGTCTGATGCCCCCGGTCACCGAGGACCGTTGGTCTGCGCTCGTCCGGTCACTGGGGGGTCTGCAGGCTCTGATGATGACCGGCCGCCCGGCGGGCCCGACCCACCAGTGATCCTATCGGGCCCACTGGCCTCGGCCCGCGCGCTCCGTTAGGGGGCTAACGGCGAATCAATGGCGAGTTTCGGCACCACGCCCCAGGCAGATGGCTGAAAAACCCTTCGCGGTCCGCTAAATGCCAGTGAGTGATTGTTATCATTGGAAATAATCCGTGATGGGTTGATGTAGATTGTAGATTGTAGCGACATCACAACCATATTTATTTTTCATGATAGTTGAATATTTGATTTCCTTTCCGGATTTCATGTAAACTTATCTGTTTGCTACCGCTCAGATATTTTTAAAAAATAAAAATATTTAAAAGTGGCATAAAAGATAATGCATAAATACTCGTAACGTGCTACTGCCTGTGATACGGTTCCCACCGCATGTTGTCTCGTCTTTTCTCGGTTGGATCATTTGTTTTCTGAATCGGAGTCTTCGACTGGTAGACACAACTGCTTCAATCTGTGCTGTCTGAGCTGTTTCTACCGTTGATTCTGTCCTTGTTGCCTGTCCACTTTGTGTTTATCGTGCTGACGGTGCTTGTGCTGCACGTGCGTCGGTGCCGTCGATTACCGTCAGTGCCACCGACCTTCCCGTCGCGATGGTGCGGCCCGGTCCGTGCTGCGCTACTGTCGCTGCTTGCACCTGGCTGTTCAGTCAGTGCGGTTGGTGTCGCCATCCATTGGGGCAGTCCAGGCCGATAACCGTCCCGGTGAGCCGCGGGGCGCCGTGCCCCCTGCCGAGACCAGAGTTCGCACAATGGACGCCTGACGTGCGCCGGGCCAGCTACAAAGCTATCAAGCAATGTGCTTGGGGCGGGACGGCCACGGGTGGTGGTTTCATAGTCCACCGCGTGGTGACAGTAATACTCAGGGTTTGATGTTTGCTTAATTTCCCCAATAAGCAACCATAAATCAACTTCACGAGCAACTGTGTTCGCAAACAAATGACGTCCTTGGCCAAATTTTGGTAAACAAACAGCGAACAGTTCGCGAACGTTCATGAACTGTTCGCGAACATGGTAAAGAGGTGATGGATAAGACCCCCTCCTTAGCCGTTTCGCTTTGAGGTAGAATCTTGCGGAAAAGGTGAGCCTGTGCGTCGTTACGGGACACAGCAACTCGGGAACTTTATCGTCATGGACATGATGCCCGTTTTTGTGGCGATGATGAAAATTCGAAACTCCGCTGCCAGGCTATTATTTCTCGGTTGTTGAATGTGATTTTTAATTGCTCTTTTCATTTCCGTGGGTGTATTTCATTGTTTCTTCTGTTAGGTGTTTCGCATATCTTTATGATTTCCTTGCTTTCCCAAGTTGGCAGTTTTACGTGTAATGATGTTTGCATAAATTTGTGAAGGTTTCTATAGCTAAATTGTTTTCCCATTGCACTTTCTCCGTCTCTGAGTTAGCTGGTACTTGTCCTAGAACTTAACATTTTAAAATATTTTGAGTATTATTTTTTTTTTTTTTGGGGGGGGGGGGCAGACTGCAGATTTGACCGATCACCTATCTCACTTCCGTCCATGTCCCTGAAGTATCATTTTTAGCTATTGTACTAAACGCTAATATCAGGTCCTCTTATGGCTGGCCTGGCTTCAGTCCCCGGGCACAACCTCCAGGACATCTCTCACTCTCTCGCCCGCCGTTGACTCTTTTGTTGCCTCACTGTTCCGACCGCCGGACGACACGGTCGGCGGCTGTCGGGGGCGTGGCTGCCCGTCCCGCCATCTGCCGTACCCCTGCTCAGACAGATGAGCGATAATGTGGGGCAGGTGCAGGCTGCTGTCCACTGCTTTCCGTCATCGGGTGTCCTTGCATGACCTCGAAGATCTAGGTGACACTAGGTTCCTGCATTACAGAATGCACGTTGGCAATTAATTTACAAGTGTGTCTCTCACAACCACACCCGTCTCAGCACTATAACCGGACCTGCTCTGTGCAGCCATGAGTTTATCTTCAAAACGAACGGCTAGCTCGGCACCTCATCTAAGAAGCTATTTCTCTGAGTCCACTGAGGTTCCTCCATCACGGGCTGCCCCTCCCACTGACAGCTAATCGTGCACTAAACCATTGCGCTGAGAGCCTTTATGTAGATCATGTACGATATGGCCTATGCCAATGGCCACCTTGTTTTAATCAGAGCAATCATTGTCGGCGCCGCTTCATGGGGTACATTTGCCGATTGCGGCCTATGATGTTCGATTGCGCCAGCGGCCAGCTCGTGTCCTTGCAGCCGCATACTGGAGCGATCACTGTGAGTGCATGTGGCGGACGGGTGCCGGGCCGGCTGGAGAGGGGCGACTCGCGTCCCGCCGCGCCGCCTTGACCGAGCGAGGGAGGGCGGCGCCGCGCCGGCACACCCTTCCTCCCTCCCTGGGCTGTTACCGTGCACACTGCACAGCACATCATAGCACCGACAACCTTGCTTGTCTCTTTCCCTCTCTTGGCTGTCCTGTCACGTTGAAGATGTGAGATATGCTCTTATATCATGTCACATCTGTCCTGCCACCTTCCATGGCGTATCACGACACACTGCGCTCGGCATGGGAAGACGTCTTCCTCCTTAACCGTTCCCGAACCACCCACGCTGAAACGGACAGTGTCCTCAGCCTCACTCCTCCGGCCTCGTCCCTGAAACTGCTTCAATCGGCCGCCCAACTGTCGCACGGGTGGCGTCGGGAACGGGGTCGCCGTGCGGCACGGTACCCCGGGGGCGGTCCGGAACGGGCCGGAACCGCCCGGCAGCCGTGCCCCGGTGTCCGCCGGCGGCGGGGGCGCCCGGAGGCCGGCCCCACCCCAGAAGGTCGCCACGGTGATTTCTCTCTGCGATAATTTGTCTCTGGTTATTTACGCGTGTACTTACGCCGAAGTAATTCTTATACGTTGGTAAGTGGCCTTTGGTGTGGGTCGTTATAAGGCCGCTGGGTTCTGGGGATATCATGAGGAAGTTGGCAGTGTTGCGTGAAGACTGGAGCGTGTCCCTTTCTTAGATCTGACCGCGGCGTGTCTCTTTCTCGGATCTTTCTCCAGAGCTGCCGTTCGGCTGCTGGTTTAGGTGGTATACACGTCGTGATGGTATCGCTGACCGTTCCGGCCAGCTCACTGTCTGGAATGCTGCGGTGGAAATGCGGTCGCTCTCCACGGGAAGGGCTTGGTCACGAGCAAATGGTAACAGTTCCCATGACGCAACCCGGTGGTGGCAATTGAGTTCCTTCGAATCATCCAGGTCTAGGTCGTGTTCGCGACAATTATCGCCGCTCTTGACCTTGACAGTGTTACCAACTGTGAAAAGGAAGCTGTGATTAAATCCGCATCACTTTTTCGTTATACTGCCGCTGTCTTGCACTTCGATGTGATTATCAGCTTCTGTCATTTTTATACGTGTAAACTATCAAGCAACGTTTACATGACGCATTGCTCAATGTAAAATGCCCTTCTGCATGATTTATATGAGCTATTTACCGCTCTTCTGTAAGGATGGGATCAATCACCAACATAAACACCAACAAAAAATAATGTAAAAATGCAAAAAAAAAATACTGAATTAAGAGTAATAACCTACCCATTTCAGAAAATCTTCAATGACGATTCATAAAACCAACAAAATAACAAAACCATTAAACTGGAATACCAACTACCAACTACCATGTTGCTTTCGATTTGTTATCGGTGCACCAAGAAGTTGGTATCCGATTGACATCTCTTGTCGCTATATTTGGTTTCCTGTGCAATTATCTGTAGAGATGCACTTAGACTTAGGTATATTCCTACATTGCAACGTGTATGCTGGCTAGTGGTGCCAATCGGAATTTGGACCCTCGGATTTCCGATTTTGTCCACTGCCCAATTCGGAATTTGATTGGACAAAGGAAGCAACTCTTGGAGAGCATTGGACAGTCACTTGCTACTTGCTAGGAAGCTCAGCTCTCGATATGATTAACACTTTTTTTGGCCGGTTATAGGACTTTAAAGCAAATTTAATAGCAGTGGTGACTGGTGAGTGTAAATTATTGTGTAGTTTTCGAACATTTTTGGACGGACAGTCCACGAAAATACCGGACATTGGACGGACATTGGACATACATTCTCTGGAACTGGCACCACTCATCCTGGCCCAATCTGTAGTTCTGTCAGAAGGCCTTCTGGGCACATCGGCCCGCAGCGTCCGAAATCAAGCATTGAAGCTGTCTTTTTAAAGGATAACAAAAATCAACATCTTCTATTATATATTGTTTGTTTTTTATTGCATAGCAACACAAGAAAATCCGATGAGTTTTTTTGTTGTTGTTACAAAATTCGTTGTATGCTGCATCGAGACAGCACCCTTTTGTCCGTGTGTGCATACCTGGAAAGGCCAAGGTAGACGTTTTACAGAAAAATTGTATCGCCGCTCCAATTTTTATATGAAGCTCCAGTAGCCTTTCTTTCAAAGGCTTAGTTTGTCTGTTAAATTAATGTATGAATACATCTATATTGCCTGACGACATGAGTTTTTCGAGGTTTGTATAACGGGTACGCGGGGATATCATGTGCTGGAGCCGGCCGCTCCCCGCCTGGCGCCGCCGCCCCCGGCAGGGTCACCATCACTGGCGGTCACCGCAGCTGGACCGTGTATAAAGCACGGCTCCACACCGCACCCACCATCAGACGATCACACACCGCCACACAACCAACAACATGAAGGTGAGTGCCGAGGGGACTATTCAGCCCAACTTTGTCATTTCATGATGAGTGTGAATTTGAGTTGCTGTGGTGTTCTTTCAGGTCAAAGAGCTTCGAAAACAGTGTTCAGTAATGAGCGTAAAAAAAGCTTTTCGTTAAAAAGAGACCAATAACTTATATTGATCATGACGTTCTTCTTTCAGTTCTTCGTGGTTGCCGCCCTGCTGGCCGTTGCCGCCGCCGACAACGCGCCCTACACCACTCCGGCGCCCACCTACGCCCCGACCTACAAGCCGACCTACGCGCCCAGGCCCGCCTACCACCCCCAGCCGGCCTACAAGCCCGCTCCCTACAAGCAGGAGAGCTACGACGAGCCACCCAAGTACGACTTCAGCTACGACGTCCACGGATACGGAGACTACGAGCCCGTCTTCAACGCCCAGGAGGCGCGTGACGGCTACGCCACCCAGGGATCTTACTCGGTTGTGCTGCCCGACGGCCGTACCCAGACGGTCACCTATCGTGTGGATGACGCCTACTCTGGCCTGATTGCTGACGTCACCTACGAGGGTGAGGCTCGCTACGATGAGTACAAGCCCAGCTACAAGCCCGCCCCGGCCTACAAGCCCGCCCCTGCTTACAAGCCTGCCCCCGCCTACAAGCCTGCCCCTACCTACAAGCCCGCCCCCACCTACAAGCCCACCCCCGCCTACAACTAGAGAGGAGTCAATAATTGGTTTACTTCAATAACTTCGGCCAAAGCGTGCAGTGTCTCTTATGTATGTCTGTGTGTATTTATTGCAAAGCGAATGCGAGTCAATAAAAGAAAATGATTTGTATACATGTGGTGCTGGATGACCTGTGAAAGTGGGAGGTAGTTGTCGATGCACAGATGATGAAATAAACCACACCTCAGAAAGCAATGCATGTCTGATTTCACTCGATAGCGCAAAATCTACAGAACTGTTCGCACGTGGCGAGCGCCAGACCCCAGGAACCTCGTCTCATGAAGGCTACGAGTTACGACAGGACTGAAAAGGCTTCATAGGAATTTGTGAAGGGTGCACCATTTTTTCACCGCCATTCTCCATTCACAGCATTCATTCAGCCAACATACTATCTCATTGCTCGAAACTCTGCAACGAAACACAAATAGCATCGTTTCGGGAATGTTCCCCTAAAATACTTATTTTTAAGAAATATGACATTTGAGCCGACCTTTTTTAGGAGCTCGATGACGCAATTGTTTGGCCATGGCCGTGTTTAATCAACCCATAAACAATGGAAAGTTAAGTTTGTGCGTTCAGACTATTTCTAAGTTTCTTACCTTGATGAACAGTTTTTATATTCCTTTCGGTATGTCATCATAGTCAGTTGCGACTGGTTATGATACCCGCGCTTACCTGAGCCTTTAGCTGAACGCCACTGAGGGAAGGAGACCTAAAGCCCTTCCCCCTAACCTCTCTCCGAAACTGTGGCCGAGTCCCGCGAGGTGGTGTTGAGGGGTTGACACAAAGGCGCATCTGGAACGTTCCACAATTTTGACTTTTCATGTCGAACAGCGATGCAAGTTCAAAACTTGCATATTTTGTATGGCAGGAGTGAACGGAGTGTTGCTTATGTTATGCTCAATTTTGAATCAAGTACTGACAAGCTGTACCAATGCATTCCAAATTTGAACTACAGAATCAGTTGGCAATTTTCGAAGCTTTCTAGCACAACCCATAAGTCACGCGAGAGTTTTCGATGCCTAAAAGTACGTCTCTATCCTTATACCACAGCAGCTCATCAATCAAATAACAGTTTCTGATCTGACAAACACGATTCCAACCTAACCCATCGGTGGACTGAGGTCTGATGAAATGTTCCCAAACCTGCAATCCCAAAACATTCACCTGACAGTTCTCAATGTCCCAGAGCACACCGATCTGATGCAGCTGGTAGCAAACACCAACACTTTTCATCGGTCGTATATTCATCGGCATCCGCATCGTCCGCCATCGGTATGGACCGCTCTTACTGTAATCTATAGCAGGACAAAAATCTGACTAACACTGGCCCGTAGGGGGTCGAATGGACCTCCCTCTGTTTTTCGCGAATAACTCGCGTAGAAAGCGGCCGATCGCGACGAAACCCTTAGTACCCTCGCGTCAATCAATTTTACACCTACCCTGAAAATTTCATGACCCTGAATCAAATGACCTTTGACCTGTGACCTATACTACGAGGCCATGTTTGGCCGGAATCGCGATTCGGCGTATGTCGACTCGCATTAGCCGCGCGTTCGCAGTCTTTTCGTGGTTTGAAGCGTTCAAACATGTGATATGATGTTGGACGTTGGCCTCATGCATTAGGGTGGGTTTCAAGGTCACATGAAGGTCAGGTCAGGTCATTGACCTTTGATGATCTCGGTTCACTTTTTCGAGTTTAACATGTTGCTAGGCTAGTATTTGGAGCTGAATTCGAGTTTAGCAACTATTTGAACATTCACAAAATAGTTTTGGTGCCTTCCCATGTGAAAAAATCTTGCAAGATTGTCTTGCACGATTTGTACAAGACAAAGTATGCAAGAAATTGGGACATATTCTTGCATGATCTTATAAGATTATCATACATGATTCTTGCAAGTCTTGTACCAGATTCTTGACAGATTCCTGCAAGTCCTGTACCAGATTCTTGTAAGTCTTGTACCAGATTCTTGCAACTCTTGTACAAGACTCTTGCAAGTCATGTACAAGACTCTTGCAAGTCTTGTACAAGACTCTTGCAAGTCTTGTACAAGACTCTTGCAGGTCTTGTACAAGACTCTTGCAAGTATTATAGAAGATTCTTGCATGTCTTGTACAGGGCTCTTGCAAGAGTCTTGTAAGACTCTTACATGTACTGTATAAGAATCTTGCAAGAGCCTTGTACAAGACTCTTGCATGTCTTGTACAAAGCTTTTGCTAGAGTCTTACCAGACTCTTGCAAGAGTCTTGTACAAGACTCCAGCATGTCTCGTACCAGACTCTGGCAAACCTTTTACAAGACCTGCTAAGACTCTGGCAATTCTTGAGCAAGACTTGCAAGTTTTATCAAAGACTTGCAAGCCTTGTACAAGACTTCCAAGTTCTAGACACATCGCCCTAAGATATCGTTTCAATTGTATTGATGTCGAGACCCATGCATACGAAATCCGTGAAGTGAAATGAAATGATGTTCCAGCGTAAACGTTAAAATCAATATTCACAAAAATGTCAATCTGAGAACACATATTAACAGCCCTTTACTTTTCGAGTCACCCACACGTCACAGTCACATCACCTCATCACACGTTGACGTCACGTCACGTCACAATTATCGTCGAGGCCGCCGTTTCGTCTGCATCCAGCCACTCGAACACAGGAGGATGTCGTTCGTCGTGCCTTGCATCGCATATTATTGGTGAGCCGAGATTTTTGATTGCTGAAATGAAATGACATTCATATAATCAGGTATCCGCCATCCGGAGCCAGATGTGAAAAGGTGAGCCAGTATGTATCAGCCAAAAAGTAGAATTGATGGGACTTTGAGTTAATTCAGTGAGCAATCGTTTTCGGTTAAAGATATCAGCATATTTAGCTATCATACTCACATACGTACTATCCTATACATACACTCACCTGGGTCCAGTTTCGCCGCATGACGCTACCGTCAGCACTATTTCCTGTGTGGCAGGCGAAAAATGTCGGGTGATCAACTATTTTCAAGTGAACGTTTCGGCGCCGGTTTTGGTCTATGATGATGCAAATATTGGGATCAATTTTCTTATTGTTACACGGCATGGCAGAAACTTGCCTACCTGCAGGTCGGAAGAGGAGACGGCAGACGGCACCGCACCGCACACACTCAACACTTCCGTCCTCACATCGCGAGACGCGAGCGGGCAGTGAATGGGACGCCGACGGATGGAATGCGGCGGAGGGGGACGCGGAGTTTCCCCTCCTCGCCTCAGGCGGGGTCTGCCGTCCGGGACGGACGGCGGACCCCACCTGAGGCGAAGAGCCGCCGCCGAAGTCGCCCGCCGCCGACCGTACAATCTAAAAAAACGGACAAGTTTGTGGTCGCTAAATTCCAGTCGGTACAGTCTCTAGAACACATGTGCGTCGCTTACAACTGTTCTCCGTGGGGCGTGTGGAGCAAATGATCGCATTTGATTGAGAATTCAGCGAGCCCTTAAATTAGGCGAAAACATTACTTAAAGGTGTCAAGTGATTAGCGGGAGATGCCTGGGATCAGCACATTCTTGTGAGATTCTTCAATCTTACCATAATCAGCATTCTTGCAAGAACCTGCCTATACCAGATTCTTATAAGATCTGTATGATGTTGGGCAATCTTGTACAAGATCTGCTCAATCTTACCAGAATCAGCATTCTTGCAAGAATCTGCCTATACCAGATTCTTATAAGATCTGTATGATGTTGGGTAATCTTGTACAAGATCTGCTAAGTCTTACAAGACTGTCTTCAGAATCTTATAAGATCATGCAAGATAGTGAAGATTCTGGTAAAATCTTGTAAGACTTTTTTACATGGGTTCGTAACATGTTACGAAGCTATCAGAGACGGTTGACACCTGATAAGAATGCCATCAGGACCCCTACTGGTTTACCTGACCTGACCTGACCCGACCTGGCCTAAATGCATGAAAACATCATCTGTGCTAAAAAATGGCATGATATTCGTGATTATCACCCCGAAAACCCCATAGTAGCCACACTTTACGGCGTTCTAACAGGTACCGATTTTCCCGACCTTTGGGTTGTTGACCTGACCTGGAATGTCAGCCAATGACCTAGGACTTTAAAATCGTGGATCATCGGCTTTCTCTCGTCACGGGCAACACGCTCGTTTTTCGACGAAGCTCTAGCTCGATCAGGGGCCAAACGGCAAGGGGAGTCCGTTGCCCCCCCCCCCCCCTTTATACGTTCGCGGCTGGCAAAACACCAATACGGGCGAGGGTTAAAATATGAAAACGTTGAGCTCATAGTAAGCTACAGGAGATGCTTCTAGTTAACGATTGAAAGGGACCATATGAATAGCTTTGCCTACCACCGGTGACCGATGCCCTTGCGTGCCCGTCAAGTGGGTACAGCCCTCAGCAGACTGCGTGGTAGGTATTCTTTTTTCGACAAAACCGGTGATAACTCAAAGGCTATGTTATCAGTCGGTCGGAACTCACTGCAAATAGATGCGCCATGCTCCACTTCTTCGATTAGATCTATAACTAGACAAAGTATACGCCTTGTGTGGCAACAAAATGCAAAAGTTTGTTTTGGGGGCAAATATAAACTTTTGGATTTTGTTGCCAAACTGGATAGAAAATGAACACGATGATAATGCCAAACTAAGGTGCGAAGTCTCGCGCGTCATACTGTTACGATTTCCAAGTGACCGATGGCATAGTATTCGCGTTATTCTCGGTTTTGTCGAAAAAAAAATACCTACCACGCAGTTTGCAGAGGGCTGTACCTGGTTACCGCTGAGCTGCACAATGCACGTCCTGTTTTTCTGCCCAGATGTCTGGTGTACTATGTCACTACTCACTACATGGGTTAGAATATATGCATCCTGCACAAATATATGCACAGCTGCACTGTATCCATATTTACGCTATATCCTCACTTTGGGATTTAGCTGGCATTTGGGACATACGACCAAATCGCCTGAAATCACCGGAATCAAGGCCTGAAATCAATGGATTTTTTTCTGGAGTAAAAAGAAAGCTTAACTTCAATCAGGAACACTAAAACCTGCATACGGGAGCGAAACCTGATTTTTTACGTGGATAAAGTCTTTGGGGAATGCCCCCGGCGGTGTCAGAGGCTTTCTTTTTGGTTCCGCCAGTGTGCATGCCTGCGCAATAAGTGCGCATATACATTGAAAAACCTGCAACATAGTGTAATAAATAACAAGTGAAGACACTTCGATTATTTTGTGTAATGCGTTTTCTTCTGCCGGAAGTGCTCTTTCAGAAAATTAACGATATCTGATGACGATTGATGACGTTTTCGTCATTGTAGTGCAAAAGTTTCATCCCTGTAGTGAAAACTTTTAATCCAAGAAACTACTATCCAAGCTTGTAGTTATATAAGTGTTGGTTTTAACAGCTAATTCGCTTTTATTTACGACAAAAACTGAAAATAAATCCCTCTACACGCAACTTGAAATGTAATACCACTTAAACATACTCGTAATGAGAAGACCAAAAACCTATTTTTACTACATATCTTTATAAGCTAAGAATGTCTTCTTTATGCCACAATGGGTATAGCGTATGAACACTGGACAGGCACCAATGCATACATAGCTCGCAATACCTAAGAATTCATGCTCTCTTATCAGGCATATCGTTCGGAAGTTGTGTAAATGCCGACGCAGTGTTAAAATGGGCCAAACAGCTATTCATCAACTGGGCATTTCATCAGGCTGAAACGCATCGATGTCCCCTGATTTTGCATATTATAATGCATTCAATAGGAACAATGAACATTTGATGAATCTCATTCATTTCGCGCAATAAAAAGCATAGGTTCTCAAGTCAAAGTGAAGGAAAAGACCGATCAAAATGACTCGTATAATACCTACAAACTTTGTTTAAATACTCTACACATTTAGGGACCGGTACTGTTACGGTGTCCTCTATTTTTGAATATTTTCATACCGGTTCTGTCACATTGCATTCAGTAAGCGACCATACATGCAATAAAAACAGTGGGTTCTCGAGCGTAACGTTACAGAATAGAGTGAATGCTGATACGATGTTCAACATGTTTGAGCGCACTTAGATCGAGTAGGACTTTCATCGGGCTATGGCACATCGATTTCCTCTGTTTTTAAATATTTCCACGCATTTTATAAGAAAATACGATTATTTTCTTTCATTAAATGCAATAAAAAGCATGGGTTCTCAAGTCCATGTCAGTCAAAGGTCCGATCAAAATGGGTAATGTTTTAGGGACGTTGTCAAAATACCCTACACTTTTAGGAGCCGGTGGTCTTATGATGTCCTCTGTTTTTGAACATTTTCATACCGGTTCTGTCACATTGCATTCAGTAAGCGACCATACATGCAATAAAAACAGTGGGTTCTCGAGAGTAACGTTACGGAATAGAGTGAATGCTGATACGATGTTCAACATGTTGGGGCGCACTTAGATCGAGAAGGACTTTCATCGGGCTGTGGCACATCGATGTCCTCTGATTTTAAATATTTTCACGCATTTTTTAAGAAAATATGATTACTTTCTTTCATTAAATGCAATAAAAAACATGGGTTCTCGAGTCCATGTCAATCAAAGGACCGATCAAAATGGGTAGTGTTTTAGAGACGTTGTCAAAATACCCTACCCTTTTAGGAGCCGGTGGTCTTATGATGTCCTCTGTTTTTGAATATTTTCATACCGGTTCTGTCACATTGCATTCAGTAAGCGACCATTCATGCAATAAAAACAGTGGGTTCTCGAGAGTAACGTTACGGAATAGAGTGAATGCTGATACGATGTTCAACATGTTGGGGCGCACTTAGATCGAGAAGGACTTTCATCGGGCTGTGGCACATCGATGTCCTCTGATTTTAAATATTTTCACGCATTTTATAAGAAAATATGATTATTTTCTTTCATTAAATGCAATAAAAAACATGGGTTCTGGAGTCCATGTCAATCAAAGGACCGATCAAAATGGGTAATGTTTTAGGGACGTCGTCAAAATACCCTACACTTTTAGGAGCCGGTGGTCTTATGATGTCCTCTGTTTTTGAATATTTTCATACTGGTTCTGTCACATTGCATTCAGTAAGCGACCATACATGCAATAAAAACAGTGGGTTCTCGAGAGTAACGTTACGGAATAGAGTGAATGCTGATACGATGTTCAACATGTTGGGGCGCACTTAGATCGAGAAGGACTTTCATCGGGCTATGTTACATCGATGTCCTCTGATTTTAAATATTTTCACGCATTTTATAAGAAAATATGATTATTTTCTTTCATTAAATGCAATAAAAAACATGGGTTCTCGAGTCCATGTCAATCAAAGGACCGATCAAAATGGGTTATGTTTTAGAGACGTTGTCAAAATACCCTACACTTTTAGGAGCCGGTGGTCTTATGATGTCCTCTGTTTTTGAATATTTTCATACCGGTTCTATCACATTGCATTCAGTAAGCGACCATACATGCAATAAAAACAGTGGGTTCTCGAGAGTAACGTGACGGAATAGAGTGAATGCTGATACGATGTTCAACATGTTGGGGCGCACTTAGATCGAGAAGGACTTTCATCGGGCTGTGGCACATCGATGTCCTCTGATTTTAAATATTTTCACGCATTTTATAAGAAAATATGATTATTTTCTTTCATTAAATGCAATAAAAAAACATGGGTTCTGGAGTCCATGTCAATCAAAGGACCGATCAAAATGGGTAATGTTTTAGGGACGTCGTCAAAATACCCTACACTTTTAGGAGCCGGTGGTCTTATGATGTCCTCTGTTTTTGAATATTTTCATACTGGTTCTGTCACATTGCATTCAGTAAGCGACCATACATGCAATAAAAACAGTGGGTTCTCGAGAGTAACGTTACGGAATAGAGTGAATGCTGATACGATGTTCAACATGTTGGGGCGCACTTAGATCGAAAAGGACTTTCATCGGGCTATGTTACATCGATGTCCTCTGATTTTAAATATTTTCACGCATTTTATAAGAAAATATGATTATTTTCTTTCATTAAATGCAATAAAAAACATGGGTTCTCGAGTCCATGTCAATCAAAGGACCGATCAAAATGGGTTATGTTTTAGAGACGTTGTCAAAATACCCTACACTTTTAGGAGCCGGTGGTCTAATGATGTCCTCTGTTTTTGAATATTTTCATACCGGTTCTGTCACATTGCATTCAGTAAGCGACCATACATGCAATAAAAACAATGGGTTCTCGAGAGTAACGTTACGGAATAGAGTGAATGCTGATACGATGTTGAACATGTTGGGGCGCACTTAGATCGAGAAGGACTTTCATCGGGCTGTGGCACATCGATGTCCTCTGATTTTGTGTCTACCAAGGCATTCTGTAAGAAACTGGGATTATACCTTCGTTTAGTGGAGTAAAAAACGTGGGTTTTCATGTCTAAGTCAATTAAAAAATCCATCATGACGGGGCATGGAAGACGATGATGTAGGCCGAGGATAGCGTTCAATGATTTAGGAAGTGACGTTTTATGACGTTTTATTACGTCATACTGCAGCGTGAGTAGCTACATAGCCCACTCCCAGGTGAAGAAAAGTTGTTACATGAGTTTGCATTATAAATTGGTGAAGTGTCTTCACTTGTTATTTATTACACTATGCCTGCAAGGTGCCCGCTGAAGGGAAATGTTATCTTTCTTACTTTTATATCATGCGCCAATTAACTAGCCTGTATTTTGAAACCTGTTTTTTCGGATCTTTTATTAATTAGTGAAAATACTCCGGATGTTGCGAATGAATTCAGATATTGAAGACTTTTAGAATTATTTACGAGTATGTTGAGACGTCCAACCGGTGAAGATAACTTTCTGTAGTCGGCCGCTCCCCGCCTGCCGCTGCGCCGCCCCCGGCAGGGTCACCATCACTGGCGGTCACCGCAGCTGGACCGTGTATAAAACACGGCTCCACACCGCACCCACCATCAGACGATCACACACCGCCTCACTACCAACAACATGAAGGTGAGTGCACGGAAAACCCATTTGAATGTAAGATTGAATTAAAGGCGCTGCCCTAATGTTCTCATGGATTGAAGAGCTTTGAAAACCCATGTGCTCAGCAATAAGTATTTGAAAGAGGTATCATGGAATGGAAAAATGGAAATTATATTGACGATGATGTTCTTGTTTCAGTTCTTCGTGGTTGCCGCCCTGCTGGCCGTTGCCGCCGCCGACAACGCGCCCTACACCACTCCGGCGCCCACCTACGCCCCGACCTACAAGCCGACCTACGCGCCCAGGCCCGCCTACCACCCCCAGCCGGCCTACAAGCCCGCTCCCTACAAGCAGGAGAGCTACGACGAGCTGCCCAAGTACGACTTCAGCTACGACGTCCACGGATACGGAGACTACGAGCCCGTCTTCAACGCCCAGGAGGCGCGTGACGGCTACGCCACCCAGGGATCTTACTCGGTTGTGCTGCCCGACGGCCGTACCCAGACGGTCACCTACCGTGTGGATGACGCCTACTCTGGCCTGATTGCTGACGTCACCTACGAGGGTGAGGCCCGCTACGACGAGTACAAGCCCAGCTACAAGCCCGCCCCGGCCTACAAGCCCGCCCCGACTTACCAGCCCGCCCCCGCCTACAAGCCCGCCCCCTCCTACAAGCCCGCCCCTACCTACAAGCCAACCCCCGCCTACAACTAGAGAGGAGTCAATAATGAGCTTACTTCAAACTGTCTGCCAAACCGTGCAGTGTGTCTTACGTGTGTTTGTGTGTATTTATTGCAAAGCGAATGCGAGTCAATAAAAACAAACGATTATTACACATATAGTGCTGGGTGAGATGTGAAAATGAAGGACAAGTGTCGATTGATGCTGAAGGGGTTTAGCGAAAGGAAAATGGTCATACGAGCAAGGTACGGCTACTAAACCTGGGACAGCAAGATCTTAACGTAGCTGAGCAATGCTCGATTCCACTCGATGGTGAAAAATCCCCAATACCGCAAGATACGTGACGAGCGCCAGAACTCAGGAGCTTTGTCTTAGAAAAGTTATAGCGGGACTGAAAAGGGCTACATAGGAAATGCCGCAGCGATGTCGTGTATAGCCTAACGTATAACGCATTAATTTAGACCAGCTACGATCTCATTGCTCAAATGCCTGCAACCATAGCTAACATAAACTACCTGGTAGTTTTTATCTTTCTTCGCTCAACGTGATACGGCTACTGCATGAGTGTTGACTTGTTTGAGGAATGCTTCCGCTTACGATACTTTTTTGAGGAAGGTGGCGGATCCAAGGGGGGGTCACATGGGTCATGGCCCCCCCCTTGAGGCCCGGGGGCCCAAAGACCTGCCAGGGGCACCACCGGCCTATCAGGGGTATCACAGTCCTGACAGGGGCACCACAGGACCACCAGGGGCACCACAGGCCTAGCAGGGACACCACGGGCCTGGTGCCCCTGGGCCCTGACAGGACTGTAACGCCCCTGACAAGCCTGAAGTGTCCCCGGCAGGGACGTGGTGCCCCTGACAGGCCTGAGGCGCCCCTGCAAGGCCGGTGGTGCCCCTGGCAGGCCTGTGGTGTCCATGGTAGGCCTGTGGTGCCCTTGCTAGGCCTCTGGTGCCCCTGACAGGCTTGTAATGCCCCTGGAAGGACTGTGGTGCCCCTGGGCCCTGACAAGCCTGAGGTGCCCGGCCATGACAGGCCAGTGGTGCCTTGCTAGGCCTGTGGTGCCCCTGGCAGGCCTGTGGTGCCCCTGGCAGGCCTGTGGTGCCCCTGGCAGGCCTGTGGTGCCCCTGACAGGCTTGCGGTGCCCTTGGAAGGACTGTGGTGTCCCTGGGCCCTGACAACCCTGAGGTGCCCCTGACAGGCCCGTGGTGCCCTTGTTAGGCCTGTGGTGCCCCTGGCAGGCCTCTGGTGCCCTTGCTAGGCCGCTGGTACCCCTGCGCCCTAAGAGGACTGGTGCCCCTGAAAAGTCTGAAGTGCACCTCGGCAGGCCCGTGGTGCCCCTGACAGGCCCAAGGTGCCCCTGCGAGGCCGGTGGTGCCCCTGGCAGACCTCTGGTGCCCCTGGCAGGTCTGTGGCGCCCCTGGCAGACCTGTGTTGACTGGTGCCCCTGCTAGGTCGCTGGTGCCCCTCACAGACCTGTGGTGCCCCTGGGCCTTGACAAGCCTGAGATGCCTGGCTATGACAGGCTCGTGGTGCCCCTGATAGACCAGTGGTGCCCTTGCTAGGCCTGTAGTGCCCCTGGCAGGCCTTTGGTGCCCCTGCTACCCCTGCGCCCGGCCGAGGACTATGGTGCCCCTGAAAAGCCTGAAGTGCCTCTCGACAGGCCCGTGGTGCCCCTGACAGGCCCAAGTTACCCCTGCAAGGTCGGTGGTGCTCCTGGCAGGCCTCTGGTGCCCCTGGCAGGCCTGTGTTGACTGGTGCCCCTGCTAGGCCGCTGGTGCCCCTCACAGGCCTGCGGTGCCCCTGGAAGGACTGTGGTGCCCCTGCCCCTAGGGGTGCTCATGGGCCCAACAGGCCCGTTGTGCCCCTGACAGGCCTGTCGTGTATACTTGCTAGACCTGTGGTGCCTCTGCTTCCTGGCGGGCCTGTGGCGCCCCTACAAGGCCGTAGGTGCCCCTGACAGGTTTGTGGTGTCCCTGGAAGGACTTTGGTGCCCCTGACAAGCCTGAAGTGTCAAGGACAGACCCTTTAGACGCCAGGGTCAAGTTCGTCGGACTGACAACGATTCGCTTACCTGATAACGTTCCTGGTAAGTACTCACTACTCAGCGTCCACAACATATATACACATAGCACATTCATATATATTTGCTTACAATTGGTAAATGTGGTTGTGGCAAAAGTTAAGATACTGACTAAAAATAAAAATTAAAAAGAAAAAAAAACTGAAAATGGGGGCACCACCAAAATGAAGTGGACGAAATCCGTTGAGTTTTTAATTTTGGGTATAGGTAGGGGCACCACTTCGATTCATGACCCTCCCCTTGGAGTTTTCCTGGATCCGCCCCTGCCTTCGTTTAGTGGAGTAAAAAACGTGGGTTTTCATGTCTAAGTCAATTAAAAAATCCATCATGACGGGGCATGGAAGACGATGATGTAGGCCGAGGATAGCGTTCAATGATTTAGGAAGTGACGTTTTATGACGTTTTATTACGTCATACTGCAGCGTGAGTAGCTACATAGCCCACTCCCAGGTGAAGAAAAGTTGTTACATGAGTTTGCATTATAAATTGGTGAAGTGTCTTCACTTGTTATTTATTACACTATGCCTGCAAGGTGCCCGCTGAAGGGAAATGTTATCTTTCTTACTTTTATATCATGCGCCAATTAACTAGCCTGTATTTTGAAACCTGTTTTTTTCGGATCTTTTATTAATTAGTGAAAATACTCCGGATGTTGCGAATGAATTCAGATATTGAAGACTTTTAGAATTATTTACGAGTATGTTGAGACGTCCAACCGGTGAAGATAACTTTCTGTAGTCGGCCGCTCCCCGCCTGCCGCTGCGCCGCCCCCGGCAGGGTCACCATCACTGGCGGTCACCGCAGCTGGACCGTGTATAAAACACGGCTCCACACCGCACCCACCATCAGACGATCACACACCGCCTCACTACCAACAACATGAAGGTGAGTGCACGGAAAACCCATTTGAATGTAAGATTGAATTAAAGGCGCTGCCCTAATGTTCTCATGGATTGAAGAGCTTTGAAAACCCATGTGCTCAGCAATAAGTATTTGAAAGAGGTATCATGGAATGGAAAAATGGAAATTATATTGACGATGATGTTCTTGTTTCAGTTCTTCGTGGTTGCCGCCCTGCTGGCCGTTGCCGCCGCCGACAACGCGCCCTACACCACTCCGGCGCCCACCTACGCCCCGACCTACAAGCCGACCTACGCGCCCAGGCCCGCCTACCACCCCCAGCCGGCCTACAAGCCCGCTCCCTACAAGCAGGAGAGCTACGACGAGCTGCCCAAGTACGACTTCAGCTACGACGTCCACGGATACGGAGACTACGAGCCCGTCTTCAACGCCCAGGAGGCGCGTGACGGCTACGCCACCCAGGGATCTTACTCGGTTGTGCTGCCCGACGGCCGTACCCAGACGGTCACCTACCGTGTGGATGACGCCTACTCTGGCCTGATTGCTGACGTCACCTACGAGGGTGAGGCCCGCTACGACGAGTACAAGCCCAGCTACAAGCCCGCCCCGGCCTACAAGCCCGCCCCGACTTACCAGCCCGCCCCCGCCTACAAGCCCGCCCCCTCCTACAAGCCCGCCCCTACCTACAAGCCAACCCCCGCCTACAACTAGAGAGGAGTCAATAATGAGCTTACTTCAAACTGTCTGCCAAACCGTGCAGTGTGTCTTACGTGTGTTTGTGTGTATTTATTGCAAAGCGAATGCGAGTCAATAAAAACAAACGATTATTACACATATAGTGCTGGGTGAGATGTGAAAATGAAGGACAAGTGTCGATTGATGCTGAAGGGGTTTAGCGAAAGGAAAATGGTCATACGAGCAAGGTACGGCTACTAAACCTGGGACAGCAAGATCTTAACGTAGCTGAGCAATGCTCGATTCCACTCGATGGTGAAAAATCCCCAATACCGCAAGATACGTGACGAGCGCCAGAACTCAGGAGCTTTGTCTTAGAAAAGTTATAGCGGGACTGAAAAGGGCTACATAGGAAATGCCGCAGCGATGTCGTGTATAGCCTAACGTATAACGCATTAATTTAGACCAGCTACGATCTCATTGCTCAAATGCCTGCAACCATAGCTAACATAAACTACCTGGTAGTTTTTATCTTTCTTCGCTCAACGTGATACGGCTACTGCATGAGTGTTGACTTGTTTGAGGAATGCTTCCGCTTACGATACTTTTTTGAGGAAGGTAGCCGACCTATTTGAATGAGGTTGTGACATTCCCTGATAAGACTTTGCGAGTAGCAATCTTGTTTTGAAGGAATCATAGCTGGATCTGCTTTTCTAAAATCATCGAAGTTTAAGTGCGTTTCTAACCCTCGCCTCGCTGGGGGGGGGGGCAATTTGCCCCGCCCCCTGTGGTTTTTCCTGAATAGCAAGAAAACGGCGGCGCTCCGCCAAATTTTCAGTGCCTTCCCGGGCATCAATTTGACACCATCACACAAAATGTCAAGTCTTAGGTCACTTTAGGTCAGGAGTTATTGAGGTCAAACTGAGTTCATGCTCGAACAAAAATGAGCAAAAAACATGAAATCTTGAAACGCTCGCAAAAACTACAGTTACCAAGCAATTTCAAAGTTGTTTATATGGTCATATAGACAAAAGGCGGTGCTCCAAATTGCTACCTCGGATTTTCAAAATTTTGGGATTTTGACCCCCAAAAATTCAAATATTGATTAAAAAAAACGCAAAAAATCCCAAAATTTTCCCGAATATCGAAAAAACAGGAATAGATATGATAGTCTCTGCCCTCTTCTATCTACATACCAAATTTTAGATCGATACCTCCTTTTTTGGCCATGTTATAGCAAAAAAAAAAAAAACTCAAAATTGATAACGTCAAATTTTTTAACTCAATTTTTGGCAATTCTAGACCACGTAGCGCAAAACAAAGACCACTGTTCATCTCCACGTGACGAGCCCCTTCGAATCGATACCCATTTTATGCAGAAATTTCAACTTTAAAATTTGACCTAATTTGACCTGACCTTGACCTGACCTTGACCTGACCTTCACTAGAACATAATCTAACCTGACCCCAAAGGCCAACTGACCCACATAATCGTATTTGGGATATAAAATGGACCATAAAACATGCATCACATGATATTTTTATATTGTGACCCTCAGTGACCTGACCTCTGTGACCTGACATGGTATCCGTGACCTCAAATAGCAGAATATGTGTTTGACGAACATTTCCCCCATCGATGATTTTCAATGAAATGCATTTTACTCGATTTTACAACGCATTTATTTCTTGAAATGCCTGGAAACGGTGAAAATTCGACATTTGACCTGACCTGTGACGTCATCGGTTTGACCTATGTAAATGAAGTTGGGTCACAAGGTAGTTCGCTGGTAGGGCTATCCAACACCGTTTGCCGCTTGTCGCTATGTTGCGTGGTTCTCGAGATCTTAGGGGGGTGGTCCAAATTGCCTCCCCCCCCCCCCAGCAGGGCGCGTTGCTCGGCAGACCCCAGCGGGGCGCGGGCTAACCTTGTTGAACGTATTTGTATTTCATTCAGTAAGTCACAATAGTCAGTTTCAGCTGGTTAGGATACCTGTGCTTAGCTAAGTGCGGGTCTGACCGAGTAAACGGAGTATAACGCCGCCCCCCCCCCCTTCTCTCTAACTAATCATCTCTGAAAGGTATTTGCGAAATCAGAGAGGTGGGCTTTAGGATGTGTCTCAAAGACACATCCGCAGCGTTCCTTAGTTTGAACTTCGTATGTCAAATGACAGTGCAAGCTCGAAATTTAGCATATTTAGAGCAGGGCTCAAGTGGACTCAGTGTTGGTTATGCTTTTGCCAATTTGAACTGAGTACTGACTAGGCGATTTCGAACATGTTCCAATAGCAAACGGCTTATAAAAGCTGTTTGCATATCATATTGTTATTCGTCATGCGACGCATATTTTCTGGCCAGTTTTATTGGTGTTGTATGGGAGTATCGTCTGTGTCGTGTGACGCCAATTTGAGCAGGGGATAATGTAAACGCCAGGTCAGAATCTGGGTTAAGAAGGGCGAATTTGGAGGTTGACAGATTGCACAAAGGTGTTTAGTAGAAACAGATCCATTTATGTGATTTTTCGCCATCGGGTGGAATCAAGCATTGTTCAGCTACGTTAAGATCTTGCTATATAAAGTCTTATAGTCGTACGTTGCTCGTATGACCATTTTCTTTAGTCGGTACGTCACTTCATCATATTTGGATACTTATCTTTCATGTTCACATCTCATCCGCACCATATGCTTGTAATCATTTGTTTTTTATTGACTCGCATTCGCTTTTCAATAAATACACAGGCATACATAAGAGACACTGCACGCGTTGGCAAACATTAAAGTAAGCTCAATATTGACTTGGCTCTAGTTGTAGGCGGGGGTGGGCTTGTAGGTAGGGGCGGGCTTGTAGGTAGGGGCGGGCTTGTAAGCCGGGGCGGGCTTGTAGGCCGGGGCGGGCTTGTAAGCCGGGGCGGGCTTGTAAGCCGGGGCGGGCTTGTAGGCCGGGGCGGGCTTGTAGGCCGGGGCGGGCTTGTAAGCCGGGGCGGGCTTGTAGGCCGGGGCGGGCTTGTAGGCCGGGGCGGGCTTGTAGCTGGGCTTGTACTCGTCGTAGCGGGCCTCACCCTCGTAGGTGACGTCAGCAATCAGGCCAGAGTAGGCGTCATCCACACGGTAGGTGACCGTCTGGGTACGGCCGTCGGGCAGCACAACCGAGTAAGATCCCTGGGTGGCGTAGCCGTCACGCGCCTCCTGGGCGTTGAAGACGGGCTCGTAGTCTCCGTATCCGTGGACGTCGTAGCTGAAGTCGTACTTGGGCGGCTGGTCGTAGCTCTCCTGCTTGTAGGGAGCGGGCTTGTAGGCCGGCTGGGGGTGGTAGGCGGGCCTGGGCGCGTAGGTGGGCTTGTAGGTCGGGGCGTAGGTGGGCGCCGGAGTGGTGTAGGGCGCGTTGTCGGCGGCGGCAACGGCCAGCAGGGCGGCAACCACGAAGAACTGAAACAAGAGCATCATCATCAATTAAGTTCTCTGGTTCTTTTGTAGTAAAGCGCCTTTCATATACTTATTGCTGAACACATGAGTTTTCAAAGCTCTTTGAACCCTTAGAACGTTAGGAAAGGACCTAGTTTACCCTTAACCCATTTATGCCCAGGAATATTGACCATCAAGAAAATCGACGAAATCAAAATATGTTATGCTCCTACCAGGGCCTTGTATGGAATCGAAAATATTTTTTGCCTGCAGCAAAAGTTTCTCGAGAAAAACGTAAAAAACATGCGTTGCGAAATCGCAACGAAGGGCACACCGGGCGCCATCAGCGTTGCGAAAACGCAACGACGGGCACATCAGACGGACATAAAGTACACTGAACTGCCGTATATGCTAATATGTTTTGACAAAACATCAATCAACTGTTGACAACTATTGCTTGAAAATGCGGAACCCACATCCGCCATGCTCTATAACCCGCCTAAGAGCCTCAGTGAGGAAGCATAACTTCATGATTCGCGAACGGGGAGATGGCAACACGGTCATTATCAACCATTTACGTTGTCCATTGCTGTTCATTTAAAGTTGTGGTCGACACGTATCCAGGGTGATGCTTTCTTTTTGGAAGCCAGACAGATCCATTACCTCCACCTATCAGACCCTGCACAGTGCACACTGAATACAATTAAACGGAGGATTGGGAGTAAACCAGTGCCTCTCGTAGGCGCGTATATCCGCAATCATTTTTAACCACCCTCCTAGGAGTAAAGTTAAATTCCATTGCAGGTTAGTCGTACCCACTCTCAGCAAAAAGAAAAAAGGACCGATCCGGCTCTAACAAATTACCCGCGTAAGGCGTAGCGCATCACAACAAATCGACTCCCAGTTTATCATGTTTACACCTAATCCAAAATTTTCATGGCCCCACTCTCAGCGACCATCACGTGTAACCTCTTTCTCGAGACAATGCCAGGACAGAATGGTGATTCGACGTCAATCCGTCCTGTCCATCTTCAGGATAGTTGAATCCTCCTCCACGCCTCATCCCCCTGTTCCGGGCTGGACCGGCAACGTATATCGCAATCGGGCAGCTCACATAGGAGCGCACCTGTAGCCGGGTGCAGTGAGTGCTTGGGAGGGGGAAGGGGGTGGGTCATGGGTGGCGGCTGCCCACTGGCTGGGCTCAGTCTCCAGTCTACGATTGACCGTGTCCGGTCAGACAAATGTCTTCCCTAATTACAATAATCCTGCTAGCTCTAAAAATGGTCTGATTAGATAAAAAGCCTACCAAAGTAAGAAAACAGGCGTATACTCCACATCAAGCAGCTTATGAATCTATGAGTTATGAATCCTAAAAATTATTATTTTCCCATGGGTCCGCCCTCATTACCCCTGCCGAAGGGCTCAGCTACTCTCAGAGGGGGCCTATCCCACTATTTGCCGACCCTCAGTTATCTTTTCTAACGTAAATGCTGGTAGTCAGCAGATTCTATCCAGAGAATGGCGATGCCTATCTGTCGCCTGATCCAGAATACATCCCCGTTATTCATTATTTATGCACAATGTACATAGTAGATCCAATTTCCAAAGGACCTAATTATCTCTCAGCTCCGTTAGCATCGCCGACCGTTTGATGCATGGGTCCTTTTCCTACCATGCGATTTTCAGATGCATGGGAACACATTGCTTAGTGAACGAACAGCCCGAGGCCGAAAATCTGCGAGAGAAAAAGAAAGGAGTGTTTGTGGCTGTTTGAGCCAGCAAATATGAAATGCGTCGCAACATTTTACGTGCGAACGCACCTTGCACTAAACATACCTATATACGTCCCTCATGGCATAGGCGGCGGAGCGGGGGGAGGGGGCACCGGGGCACCGTGCCCCCCTTGATTTTGCCATTTTAACATTATCCCGATAGGCGTTGCATGGAAATGGAAATGGAAAGAATGAGACCAAAAGTCAGCAGTGCTCCCCCCCCTTAATTGAAGATGTTCCGCCGCTACAGCCTCATGGCTACAAAATGAGAGAGAGAGAGAAAGAAAGAGAGAGAGAGAGAGAAAGAGAGAGAGAGAGAGGGGGGATAGAGTTGGGGAACGAGGAGGAGAGGGAGGAAGATGGGGGAGAGAAAGAGAGAACCCACAGCGTATCACGAGTGAAGTCTACTGTTGATATTCATACTTCCGCTACCCTGCCAATGTGCCCATCGTTGCGTTTTCGCAACACCGCTGTCTTTCCGATGTGCCCTTCGTTGCGTTCCCGCAACGCGACCGTAGTCATATTTGAAAATAGTCACAAACCCTTTTTGTAGCATTATTTCTTAACAAAATGCATATCTACGCTATTGTAGGGACTCTGCAGAATATGTTTACACAATTTTCATTACGATATTATTAAGCACTTAGCCTACTTATCTTGGTTTTCGTGACGTCATCACTCACAAAACCTTCGACTTCCCTCTGGGAGCTCTAGGCAGTAACTTACCGGCCGCACAGACTTGTAACTGCGTAGTATCGTGCGCACAACCATGCTACACACGCTGAAACTTGTCTCATCGGTTAGTCTCTTTTACACACTTCTCAAGCTTCGATCACGTCGACGCTTGCTTGCGTTGCGAAAACGCAACGAAGGGCGTAAATGGGTTAAATTCAAATGGTTTTCCCGTCCCCTCACCTTCATGTTGTTGGTAGTTTAGCGTTGTGTGATCGTCTGATGGTGGTTGCGGTGTGGAGCCGTGTTTTATACACGGTCCAGCTGCGGTGACCGCCAGTGATGGTGGTGACCCTGCCGGGGGCGGCGGCGCCAGGCGAGAGGGGGAGGGGTGGGAGACCGTATCGGGACTGATAGTGGATGGATGACCGTGGGGCAAGCAATGAGTAACCGACCCTGGGTCATGAATTACAGTTCGGAATATGGCATGTCTGTTCAAACGCATCAAATATAGGTGTATGAGGGCGAACAGGGTCAGGAACCAATGCATGTTGCATTGTATTGTACTGGAATAACAGCGTTTTTCAGCATAGCCGACCAAGTTTCAAATTGCCTCTGGTTTTGTGAGCTGGGACGAACGTTTTGCGGGAGTGGGTATGTTGGACAGTTCTACATGTGTGTGCAATGAAAGGTTGTCGTAAATACGACCCATAAGGTAACCTTATTAGGGTATCGTTGACACCTTAGATATGGAAGCATGCCACTCAAAAGTTGTTTTTATAGTCTAGTCGTTGTATGCAATTACATGTATTATTGCGAGAGCCTATATTCTAAGCAACGGTCACTCTCCTGCTTAGGCACGAGAGTTAAACATTTCAAATTTTATTGTCGGGCTTGCACACAAATCGTGTCATTATTTGACTGATATTTATAATCTTGGCTGCAATGAAGTGAGAATTTATTTTATTTCCTACTATTGCGTTGCTGATTTTATCAAAATGTGTCTGCTTTAAACATATAACATGTTGGTCCTTGTGAAGGGTTTAGTTACTCTGACTTGTCATTTTTGTGTTTCAGGATGAAATTTATCTTACAAGAACTTTGAACGTATTTTGTCACTTGCTTTAATTCCTGTTATTGAATAAATTATACATCACATTGCAGCATCCTTTCTTGAATGTTATTTTGCAATACATTTCATCTTCAGAGCATACAAATAACGTTACCTTTGTTGATCTTGATCTTGAATTTGAATTGATTTTAGTTAGTTGAGCAGCTGTTAACTCAGTTTGAACACTTTATATTGCTGTCATAATAATCATTTACTTTCGATCATGAGCAAGTACCAAGAACACGATGCACAAGATGGAACGAACGAAATACGAACTGCGAAACAAGCTCGAACAAATGCGAAAAGGAAGTTTACTAGAAAAACTATAGGTTTCTTTGAAATGATTGAAGGTGATCGACCTTTCTTAGCGATACAAGAAAAATATGTTGATGTTAAAGACGCATTCGGCCATATTGAACGATGCAATGAGCTCGTTAACTCAGCAATCAACGAAACTGGTCCACACCATTTGATATCGAAAATGTTGGAAGAATGTGACAACTACATGATGGAAATTGAACGCGAAATGGATAAAATAAGAGCTGAATTTGCATTGAGAGCAGCAAAGGAAAATCAAGCACAATCAGAACTGCGAGTGAGGCCGCTAGACACTCCACAATTTTCTGGAAACCTTCGTCAGTACTCAAGTTTCAAGCAAGATTTTCAAAGACTGATCGTTAGGCAATACGGGAAAGACCCTTTCGCATTACGGCAATGTTTATCCGGCGAAGCGTTACAAGTTATCGGAGGCGTAGAAAATAATTACGATGAGATGTTTAATAGGTTAGATGCCAAATTTGGTGAGCCAAGAAAGGTCGTTGACGCTATTTTATTCGACATAAAGAGACTGAAGCCGGTATCAGAAGGGGACAATATCAGTTTTATACATATGGTCGACGTTATTGAACGAAGTTGGTTGGAACTTAACAGATTAGGACTCTCACAAGAAATGGACACGACGACAATGGTAACTATGATTGAAAGACTAATGCCGAGAACGCAAAAACGAGAATGGGTGACAAAACTAGATAAACGAGAAAAATTGGACGCTACGGAAGGCTCTACATTTCAAAATCTTTTGTCTTATTTATTGCAAGAAAAACGGGTAATTGAGTATATGGATAGTGATATTCGAGGCCAATCGTATCCAAGGAAAATTAACCAGGCTAGCAAGATTTCTGATAGCATACAAAGGGACAATAACAATCATATTTTCACCAGCGATGAGGCCCAAATGGACGTGACGCAAGTTTATAATTATGTTCAGAACATTGCTGATCGCATGGGCGGGTTGTTGAAAACTGAACAGCGCAACAAAGATAAGGAGCGAACGAAAATAAGTGATATGAATATCAATTGCTGGTATCATAAAACCGATTCGCACTCGATTTACAAATGTAACGCCTTTCTAAATTTGATTCATGAGGAGAAACTGCGGATCTTGCGTCAACAAGGAGCATGTTTTAACTGCTTGCAACCAGGACACATTGCAGCTTCCTGTTGTATCGCGAATCAATGCGACAAACTGAAGTCATCCGGACAAGTTTGCGGGAAACGGCACCACCCTTGTCTTCATTTGGAACGCACTGTGCCTGCTAGCTCAAGCAATCCAGGAATCTACGCATGTAACGCAACACAAGAGGCTTTGCTGGCTGTCAGTGAGGTATCCTGCAATGACAAAAGGTTATCGGTCCTATGGGATTCGGGAGCCAATATATCACTTATCACTCATAAAGCTGCGGCTACAGCCAACCTCAAAGGAACTTCCATTGATTTAACGATAACAAAGGTTGGCAATCAGAACGAAACCATCAGAAGTAAAAGGTATCGCGTTCCGTTAACTGATGCTCGTGGGAAGTTATGGGAAATATTTGCGTACGGAATCGAGGAAATCACATCTGGTTTAAAGCACGTCAATATGTCATGTTATGCGCCGCTGTTCTCCCAGGTCAGCATCGAAGATATTGTCAGACCTTATGGTGCAGTGGATATGCTGATTGGCATTGACTGTTGCGCAATACTGCCACAGGTAATTGAGACTATAGGAAATCTCCAACTTATGAAAAACCAGTTCGGATACTGCATTCGCGGATACCATGGCACTCACGACCATGGAACTGGCAGTATAAAACAAGTTAAAATCTCCAGTGGAACGACCATGTACAACATCAATGCTATATCTGCGGACACTGTAACAGATTTAAAAAGGAAACTAGATGAGTATTTCACTGTAGACAACCTTGGGACAAGCTGTACGCCGAAATGTGGGGGATGCAAATGTGGAAAATGTGCTCATGGAAATGGCAATTACAATTTGCAAGAAGAAAGGGAATTGGCACAGATCAAGCAAGGCCTTACATTCGATCCAGAACGAAAGAAATTTACAGCTCATTACCCGTGGATAAGGAATCCAGCAGATCTTCCCAATAACATAGCAGCTGCTCAGGCAAAATTGAAATACACGGAACGACGACTAATGAAAATGGGAAAACAACACGCCGAGGCATACAATGAGCAAATGCAAGATATGGTAAAAAGAGGAATAGCAAGAAAATTAACTAGGGAAGAGATGGACAAATACGAGGGACCAGTGCATTATATTCAGCATCATGAAATTATAAAGCCAACTTCATCCTCTACTCCACTGCGAATTGTATTTAACTCTTCAGCATCGTTTATGGGTCATGTACTAAATGATTATTGGGCTAAAGGTCCTGATGTTATTAACAACCTTTTTGGTATCTTGCTCCGATTTCGTCAAGAGAAAGTGGGATTGGTGGCAGATATAAGCAAGATGTTCAATACTATACAACTGTCCGAAATGGATCAGCACGTCCATCGATTCTTATGGCGTGACCTGGACACCAGAAAAGATCCTTCTCATTATGTTTTGCTGGCGGTCGCTTTTGGTGATCGTCCTAGCGGCGCCATTTCTATGGTGGCCCTAAGAACTATTGCGGAGATGAATCAAGACAGCCACGAAGCAGCGGTAAAAATGATAACAAGAAACAGTTACGTCGATGATTTGATCCAGTCTGTACCTTTCGTTGAGGACGCCGTTGTTTTAGCAGATAGCGTTCAGTATATTTTAGACCAAGGTGGTTTCAAAATAAAACATTGGATAATATCTGGAGAACACACTATCGAACTGCAATCAAAATTAAGACTCGTGAGCGCTGATATGGAGAAGATTCTCGGTGTTTGTTGGTCACCAAGAAGCGATGAGTTCCTATTTAACGTTCAGATTAATTTTTCTCCGAAATACAAAAATGTTGCGACCGGTCCTGACATGACGGAGGCAAACATAGAGTCCGTTTTTCCTCTCATAGTAACCCGAAGAATGCTCCTAAGTCAGACGGCGCGTATCTATGACCCTTTGGGTCTCATCGCGCCAGTGACACTAAATGCAAAACTGCTTCTCCGGAAACTTGTCTCCAAACCACTTGTTGAGGAACTTGGATGGGACGACCCTTTGCCTGAGGAAAATCGAGCGGAATGGAGATCCTTTTTTGAACATTTGATGATGCTTCACAGTGTCTCTTTCGCCAGGTGTGTGAAACCGATAGAATCGATTGGCGATCCAACACTGGTCATATTCTCAGATGCAAGCATGCACGCTTATGGGGCTTGCGCCTATGCACAGTGGCTGCTAGGGACAGGAAATTACCAAGCGCGGCTTATTGCAGCTAAGAACAGAATAGCTCCAACAAGGCAACTTAGTATTCCTCGCCTAGAGTTATGTGGAGCATTATTGGGATGTCGATTGCGAGAAAGTATCCAGAACGAAATGGACTATAAGTTCGACAAAGTAATACACATAGTTGACTCTACCATTGTTCAAGCCCAAATCCAAAAGGAATCATACGGCTTCGGCACTTTTGTTGCAACGAAGATTGCCGAGATACAAAATAAGTCGGATCCAAGAGAATGGTGGTGGACGTCATCTGAAGAGAATCCCGCAGATATGGTGACAAGGCCACGGCATCCGAACGAACTCGGACCTGCATCTATATGGCAACAAGGACCGCATTTTCTTCAACAGCCAATTCACGAATGGCCCATTTCTCAGTCAGTGAAAGACCAAGAACTACCAGACAGAATAGGAATCCATATAGCAAGCATAGAGCCAATAAGGGAGCACTGCAAAATTGCAAAGGTCATTAATCTGGACAAA